TTTTTTTTCCTTTCCCTCTTTCAACTCACCCGGGGCAGAGCTGCGAGGTGTCCCTCAGCAAGCTGCTGTTTGATCCTTCTCCCGGCTCCCCCATTAGCTTCGCAGACCGTTTGGTAATGAGGGGATTGGGCAAGGACAGGAAATGCGTTCGTTCATTTTGCTTCTCAGAGGTATCCCGACCTCCTGGCGGTCATGCCTGGGAGCCAGGAAAGCAGTTTAAAGAGTCGACCTTGTTTCTAGTTCTTATCAAGGCAAAGGAGCAGGAGATCCCAGGGACGCTGAGCCGTTTTCCCTTTCAAAGCTGGCACAAGTGGGAACTTGTGAATCTGCCCAACAACTTTTGAGGCAGAGAAGTGTCACTGGTTTCATTTTATGGGTGGAGGAATTGAGGCACAGCATGACTCAATGATAAAGAAAGGCCGGATTAAAATAAATTGGCTTCCAAAACTGCCCTCATTCAATGATTAAAATGCCTCTTCTGAAAGCTCTAGCAGAGAAATAAGTTTGCTAAACAACTATCGGTTCCACAGAGAAGCTTAAGGGAAACACATCTGAGCAGCATGATAGTAACATCGATCTGATTTAGCGGAACTGTACATCCGTTTGCTGCACTCCTCTTGTTTTCGTAGCGTTGTGGCAATGGTCGGATATTTAACACGGGTATGGCACGCTGCACATCCTCCACTGCTGCTGTTTTGATATTTTACGCTCGGGTGGTGGACATGCGCTGCAGAGCCAAAGGTCCAATGTCTGAATTTTGCCAATAATCTTGCTCTAAGGCTTTGCAATAGCAAAAAGACACCAGGCAAACGTGGTGGTGTAGCTTTGCACTGAAGCCATCTAGTTTGTAAGTGATAACTAGGACTGTTATGTCGGCCTGACCTTTGAATTTCCTTAAGTGCTTATTGAATTAAGTAACAGTTTTAATGTTGTTTAAAGGGTTTGTGTTCATAAATGTGTACGTATGGGTATTATTTTCTTAGTGTCTGAATCACGTTTATTCAAGTTTATTGGCAATCTGGGTGTTGTTAGTACATTCCTTTCTTATTATGCAGTAATCTATGAGACTCGTGTAGCAAGAGCAATATTGGAATCTCTCCACTCCTGTGCTGCAGAACTCGGCCTGTCTTAGCACATTATTTATTTCCCCTAGGAACTTCACAGCAGCAGCAGAAGAGAAACCAGATTCTCCTCCAGGATCACAGATATTGGTCACCTAAGCTGAAGGAAAACACCTATTAAATGTCACGGGCATAAAGCCTAACAAAGTAGTAAGTGCTGATTCTGAACATATATATGTTTATTGTACACAGATATGCACACATAGGATGATAAAACTCCTTATAGGTTACAGTGACTGTGATTCACCTACATCTATAAAATTTTGCTAGGATACAGTTACATTAACGTTGCAACATGGGAAAGGTCTCAACATTTTTCAAAGCAAGGCTCACATCCCAACAGATTGTATTACCTATCCACCATCGCATTTAGGGTCTACTTTCTGTGCTGCTTATGATGGCATAAGATTACGATCACAATGTGATACATGTAAATGGAAAGTCAAACCAAGAAACATTCATTTGATTTGTACTAGGTTTTTGATGCAGTTCAGCAATTTGGAAGAGCAGGGAAAGCTAGAACATTGTCACATATCCTGACAGCTCCAGCATATGATTCATTGTTGGAGTACTGCTGCACTGCAGAAGGCTTAAGATCATTATCTTACTAACAGTAATAATTTGCTTGATAACGAGCCAAGCTCTGCTAACCTTACTCAGGTGTTGAGCAAGAGCTGAGTCTGAGCAGAGTGGCAGAACCACAGTTCCTAGAGCACAGAGGATGTACCCTGTAGCTCAGTCATGTGGATGCTACTGCGGCAGAAATTAACAATAACAATATTATTTCTAAAACACAGTCTAAGATCCAACCAGCAGAAGTAAAATAAGAGCAAGATTTGGCCTGAGGGTTAAATTCTAGGTGTCTTTCTAATTTGCTTTCAGATCCTTTAGAAGATAGAGGAATCATTTCATCCTTTCCACCAGCACTCCTAATCTGTTATAAAACTAGCAGTATTTCCTTAAACTATTACAAGCAGTAAATGAAAGAAATCATTTTGCAAGATCTGCAAAGAGAGAACGGAGACAAGACAGAGAGGTCATGGGTAGGCAGCAGTGGGGCAGGTTTTAATACAGCTTCCAGGTGTCACCTTCACAAGGAGCATAAAATGTGTGGTGGCCGGGCTGGTGCACACAGTGGGATTCACTTTAACGCGGGGAAAGCAGGAGCAATAATGTCACTCAAGTCAGGCCTTGCTGTGGTCTGACCTTTTATATTGTGAATGACTGTAAAGCTAAAGCAGACTGTGGCAGGATAGTATTTGAGCAGGCACGGCTCAGTGTGATCCCGCAGATTATCAAACGGCTTCACCCGCTGTGAGCCCGCACTGCCTGTTTGTATCTGAGATCCCCTTGAATGCTACTTACCATCAACCTGGACTCCCTTGCTGCAGCCGTCGCCTGGAAGCCCGGGAAGCTGCTGCGTGCTGCGGGGTGCAGGGGGCTGTAGAGCCAGCGGAGAAGGGACCAGGGCAGCTCCTCCCTCCTTGAGTATTTCACGGTCTCTAGCTACCATGGAAGCAAATACTCAGGGAGACAGGGTCACCTCCTCACAGCTTCAGGCTCACCATATGGTGTCCTCATCTACCCCCTTACACCTGACCATCTAAACATCTTAAATCCATGTGATTTCTATGGCCTTCCTTAGGCATTAAGAGAACAGGGATTTTTTTAGTAGCCCCTTCCTCTCAGAAGACTCAAGCAGTGAAAGATGCCAGACAAACTTTCAGCTAGAGGAAGATTTGCTGGGAGACAGCTACAAGGCTGAAGAATAAAATATGAAAGAGGGAATCCAGTATTAGGGCACAGATTCTGCTGCTGGAAGAGAGTAGCTGCTGGGGAAGCACAGGTGGAAATTGCTTCTGCTAATGAGCACAGGATGACTCTAGACATAATTGAAGCTCATTTTTACATACACACAAACGTTCATGTTCTTGAATGGAAGGCATCCATTCAAGAAATCTGAGTGTTGTGAAGGGCTAAGCGTGTTAATGTTAACTTGTAGGTCTTCCTTCATAGCCTCTCTAGAGATTAATAATGCTGGGGCAGAAGGGATGGGAGGAAGTGACTTCAGCCAGACGCAGCCTTCAAAAACATATTTTTTATTTCCTTTAAGCTGTGCCCCCCAATTCACTCTGTAACGCTGTAGGTCGGATTGGTAGCATAGATCATAATATTGATGGTGGTGAGAGCCTGTAGCGGGCAGCAGTGGGGATGGGCAGAGTGTTGCTTTCTTCCTGGAGCCTTGGAGAATCCTGAGTTTGGCATGGATGAAGGTGGAAGAGAAGAATTTTCTAACAGGTGTGGCAGGGCCTTCACAGTCCTAGTTGCAGAACTGGAAGGCAAAGCACTCTAGTGTGTCAGGGTATAATAGCTGTGTATAAGAGCTAGAAACTGTTCTTTGGCTTCAAGCCATACTGGGGAATGGCAAGTTCAGCTTGGTTCCAGAATTATCACCTGGATCTCAGGTGCATTCCCTAATTTGTATCTATTTTATTTATGTAGAGCCTTTAACTGTGTGTTACACACAGACCACTTGGCGGCTTTAGCTTTTGTCCCCGAATTAACTGAGCTCTTTAGGCATTTCTATTAATGAAAACATTTCTATGATTTAACTTTTCAAGAAAATAGTAATGGGATATGGTACATTTCTTCCTCTTGAGATCATTGGCTCAACTCCAGTGTCTAATATGATTGCAAGTTACTGACATTTGAGATCTGTTGCCTGACCTTCATGAACAGAGTAGGAACCTCAATCCAATTTAAACTGAACAAGTGTTCACGCCATAAAACTACCATGTAGTTTGAAAATAACAGGAGAGAATATTCAAAAATCAAATGGGAAAAATATCTATTGGAAAATTAAGTGAGGAAAGACTGCATAGCGTTTCCTGGTGACTGGGAAAAAAGAAGTATTTTTAATAAGCTCTTGTTCCTTTAAATACTGCAGAATCAATTTAACTATGAGAAGGCAAGCTGGATTCCAGTGTGTCTTCTGTACATGCCAGAAAGTCAGCCCAGCGACAGCATCCTTCAAGTCTGGTGTATGAAGCTGTGAGATTATGAGGTAAATTCCCCAGTAATATGGAAATCCAAGACTTGCATTTAGAGAAATAATATTTATATATATTACACAATATATTTGTAATATTTGTAACATACATAAAAGTATTCATAAAAATATTCTAACCCTAGCAATTTTTTTGACAAATCTGGCTTTCTTTAATGGTAATCTCCCATCGATTTATTGATTATTTGGGCTGAACAAAATGAAGAACACTTGTATGCAAATACAGGACTTCCTCCATGATTACATATTCATCCCACCATCATGTCTCTATGATATTTATTCATATTTGTAACACGTTTCGAAAATATAAAAGGTTGTTAGGGCTGAAAATAGCTATTATTTAGGGGGCAGTTTATCAAATCACTGTGGTGGTGGAGCGCCACCTAGTGATTTTCTATCTTAAAACAGCGTGATGTAAAAGGAAATGCGTTTCAGCCCCCCAACTCTTGGGCTTTCTGTTATTACTTCTTCTTATCATTACCTTCCAGTGCTCAAAAGGTTCATTCACACTTTCTAGAAGACATGTAATGTCACAGTCCCTGCCCCAAATTGCTTACATTCTCCTAGGTGATGTTATGATGAGGTTTTACTCTATTTACTTGTATCTCTCCAGAAGCCCATCAATCCTTACACTTGGCAGTGATGGCTTATCACTCTTCACGCTGCTACAGTTTAAAACTTGCATTAAATTAACTGCCTGAGCATTGTGACCTCAAAGAAATCAGTAAGCAAATATTTCTTTTCTAGTAGCCCTTTCTATACACACACACACACACACATACTGTTGTAAACATCTCTTTTATGCAGCTGGTGAAATAGGTGATTCTGCTGATTTACCATAAAATACAGATCTCTCCTGAAAAAAAAAAATCAGTTATTCAGAGAAATAAATAAAGTCTTTTAAATGAATTGAAACTTTCTGGGTCAAGCTTGTTCTTGCTGTTAATGAAACTGCATTTGGAAGGTGATTTTGTTCTTCTTCTGTGGCTGAGTGAGTTTCTTGCTCTTGCTAGCATGAAGAGTTTCACAGGGCTATCAAAATAGGCTCAGTTTAAAAGAGAGGCTTAAAGTGATCCCACACGCTGAGGTCAATGCTGTCTACGTTTCTGTCTTGCTCTCTTCACCTGGTTACATGAATGCATCATTTACAGCCATGACTGTCACAATACTATTGCAAGATGGGCAGATTATCTCCACTTTTCTGACAAATAAAAAGGATAGGGAATTTTAAATGGCTTATCTCAAGCTGCAGGAAGTTCTTGATAAGTTAGAAACCCAGATGTCCTCTTGAATGTTTTTCCTCAGTGATTAACCCATCAGTCCTTTCCGTAGGTTTGTTCTTGCTGCAGAACCAATGCAAAGTACGTATGGGGTCTTGTCCCAGATCTGTGACCTGTTTATGCTTAAAACTCTGTGATGTGAGCTGTGGTGTTTTAGCTTGTGGTGGCTGGTTTATCTAACACAGGCTTCTGTCTAAGTTACTGCAGGCTCCTGACACAGTTACTCCACTGCGATTGCAACAGTGCAATTACAGGTGCAGCTACCCCTATGGTGGACTAGTTCAATTTGAATGAATTTAGCTCCTGTTGTGAAGGCCAGACTAGACAATCACCATTAGAGGGTCTCACAGGACGAAAATCACCGTGAGTTTGAAAAATATATGACCACGGGTATCCCTCCGTATGAGGTTATCGTTTCTTGACACATTTCTGGAGCTGCCCGCAAGCATAAGCATGACCCTGAAGCACAGACGTACCTCCCTTCACTAGTTCCCATTCCTGTTTTGTTTTTTATAAGAGAAGTAGCATCAGTTTCAAGGATATATATTTAAGATATAAATTTGGGATTGTTTTGTTATATTGTATAATCCATCTTTATACTCTTGAGCCTATCCTCTTCCTCCAGCAGGATTTTGCTGTCAAATTTAAAACAGTGTATTTTGGTCATTCTTTACATGTGCAACTACTTTGTTGATTAAGGGTCTAAAAGTTCGGACATCTTGACAATCTGAAAACCTAGGATTAAGGAATTTATCCTTATCATCTCTCTGGTATTTATATTGTGTGAGAAACACCAGCACGAAAGGAAACAAGGAAAAAGAAGAGTGGAAAACCTAGGAAAAGGTATTTTATTTATTCATTAGATGTGTGCTTTGAACTGATTGAAACTGTGTTTCTAATGGTACAATTAGGCCATTTGAAAGTATCCATTTGAAATTACCTGTTTTACCACCTAATTGGTAGAACGAGAGACTACTGTTCATGCCTCATTAGAGAGAAAGCGCTCCCCTGTCAATGCTGGTTTTGAGAGGAACTTCAAGGTCATAACCACCATCCCATGTGCTAAGGAGGGTACAGGCATATGGCGTAACACATTTCCTGCCCTAAAAAGGTGTTGGGTGAATCAGATATAACTCCTGACCCCATGGAGATAAAACAACTATTTCAAGGGTTAAGAGGCAGATAGCAATAACTGATTACAGCTTTAGCACAGCTGTTAAAGCACAGAACAGCTGCCCTAGGTTTCCTCGGTTTACGTCATGCTTTGTATCATCTGGACTTCGGGCTCCGTAAGCCACTACTTTTTTTCCAGTGGGACATCCCGTGGCCATGATGCAAATACCTGCCTCATGCACAGCCAGGCCTCCCACCGTGGGCGCAAAGCCCTCATGTGTGAAAAGCGACTTCCCCCTGAAAGTCACAGCCGGGACCTCCCTGCTGCCACTGATGTGCTCACACACAGATGGAGAGTAAAATAATCACTTCGACAGCAGTAGCTGCCTCAGACAGGGAGGCTTCACGACTCCTGGGGAAAGATGCTGCCTGGGAGAGGCTGCACCAAGCACCCCAGCGTCTTGCCTCTGAGCTACACAAATCCCATTTTATTTTATTCCGCTGTTCTGCCTCCTCCGGTGCCCCACGTGGACCTTTGACTCTCTCCACAGCGTGTTTGCACCCTGTCGACCTGTCTGCCCAGCTCAGGTCGCCAAGACCTCTCAGCGCTTGACAGAAGGGCGGGAACCTCCCCGATGGCGTCGGCTGAAATTCCCTTCCCGCCCCGCGGCCCCGCCCC